GGACTGCTTGCTATTTTTTTTGCATTTTTCCATTTATCAACACTTCAGCCGTCAATTTCCCGCATAACATGTATGGATATTTTGGATCATAAAAGACCTCAGAGTTATCCAAATCTGCCAGTCTTGGTGCCATCTGAAAGGGGACTTGTAAATGTCTTCAATGATTTAAGTTTCATATTCATATTTGCTTTACTTAATGAAAGAACCCTAAAAGAAGGCGGGAGTTTCTGTTTGACTGCTAGCTATTTTTTCGCCTTTCTCCATTTGTCAACACTTCAGCCGACTATTTCCCGCCCAAATGTCTGTATATATTGGATCATAAAAGACCTCAGAACTTTCCAAATCTGGCAGTCCTGGTGCCATCTGAAAGGCAACATGTGACTCTATCCAGTGAAGTAAGTTTCCAAATCATATTTGCTTTACTTAGGGAAAGAAACCTAAAAGGAGGCGGGAGTTTCTGTTGGACTGCTTGCTATTTTTTCGTCTTTCTCCATTTGTCAACACTTCAGCCGTCTATTTCCCGCCCAACATGTCTGCATATATTGGATCATAAAAGACCTCAGAGAGCTCCAAATCTGGCAGGCTTGGTGCCATCCTCAGAATTGTCTAAATCTTGCAGTCTTTGTGCCATCTGAAAGGGGACATGTAACTGTCTTTTACGTTGGACAGATCCTTTTCCTGCATAAAGATGTCTGCATATATTGGATCAAAAAGACCCAGGAATTGTTCAAATATCAATCTAGGTGACATCTGAAAGGGCATATGTTACTCAATCTAATAATGTAAGTTTCATATTCTCATTTTCTTCAGTTATGGATATATTTGTCGAAGAATGCCAAAATTCTGGACCGGCATCTATACATTTATCCACCCTTTACCGGCTTTGTTTCCGCCCAAAATTGCCTGCATGTAATATATGCAGGATTAAGCAATATTTTTGGATTATAAATGACCGGAAAATCCTTTAAATTTGACAATCTTGTTTTCATTTGAAAGGGCACATATTACTTATTCCAGTGATGTAAGTTTCATATTTATATTTGCTTTAGTTAGAGAAATAGCTGCAAAAGAAGGGAAAAGTTCTCGGCCGTCTGCTTGTCATTTTAACGGAGCTCTGTATGTCTTTACGTTGAACAGGTCCTTTAACAGCACAAAGATGTCTGCATATATTTTACAATAAAAGAACCGAAAATTATTTAAATCTGGCAATTTCTGTGGCATCCGAAAGGGCACATACTATTCAATCCAATGATATAAGTTTCATAGTTTTGTTCGTTTTAGTTAGAGAAATATTTGCAAAATAAGGGCAGAGTTCTTGGCCGTCTGCTTGCTATTTTCACAGAATTCTTCATTAATTACGTTGAAAAGGTTCTTTTTCAGCTAAAAGATGTCTGCATGTATCTCATCATAAATGACCCGAAAATCGTTCAAATCTGGCAATCTTGGTGGAATATGAAAGAGCACATTTTACTCAAGATTAATGATATAAGCTTCATACATATATTTGTTAGAGAAATATTTGCTAAAGAAGGGAAGAGTTCTTGGCCATCTGCTTGCTCTTTCCACGGAATTCTTTATTTATTACGTTGGAACAAGTGCTTTCCAGTGAAAAAGATGTCTGCTTATATTGGGTTATAAATGACCCGAAAATTGTTCAAAAAGTTAACAATCTTGGTGGCATCTGAAAGGGCACATGTTGCTCAATTTAGTGATGCAAGTTTCATATTCATATTTGCTTTATTCAGGGATATATTCGTCAAAGAGGGCTAAAATTCTGGACGGCCATTTCTATATTCATCCACCCTTTACCGTTTCTGTTCCCGCCTAAAAGTCTCAATATATTGGGTCATAAACGACTCTGGAATTGTCAAAATTTGGCAATCTCTGTGGCACATGAAAGGGCACATGCTGTTCTATCCAATGATGTAAGTTTTATATTTATATTTGCTTTATTTAGGGATATATTTGCAAAAGAAGGGAAGATTTCTTGGCTATCTGCTTGCTATTTTGACGGAATTTTTTATTATTTACGTTGAATAGGTTCTTTCCCAGCAAAAAGATGTCGGCATATATTGGATCATAAATGACCCAACATTATTCAAATCTGGCAATCTCTATGGCATCTAAAAGGGCACATGTTACTCAATCCGACATTGTCAGTTTCATATTCATATTTGCTTTAGTTGGGGATATATTCGTCAATAAAGGCGAAAATTCTGGACCAGCGTTTCTACATTCGTCCAACCATTCTGTTTCTGCCCCAAAATGTCAGCATATATTGGATTATAAGTGACCCAAAAATTGTTCAAATCTGGCAATCTAGGTGACATATAAAAGGGCACAAATTATTTAATCTAATAATGTAAGTTTCATATTTATGTTTTTTTTACTTAGAGAAATATCTGCAAAAGAAGAGAAGATTTCTTGGCCTTGTGCTTGTCATTTTGAGCGAATTCTGTATGTCTTTACGTTGAACAGGTCCTTTCCATACCCAAAGATGTCTGCATATAATTTGTCCTTAATGACCAAGGAATTTTTAAGGGCACACGTTACTCAATCCCATGATGTAAGTTTCATATTTACGTTTTCTTTAGTTAGAGAAATATTTGCAAAAGAAGGGAAGATTTCTTGGCCTTGTTCTTGTCATTTTGAAGGAATTCTGTATGTCTTTACGATGGTCCTTTCCCTGCCCACAGTTGTGTGCATACATTGGGTCATAAATGACCCAGGAATTGTTGAAAACTGGCAATCTTCAAGGCATCTGAAAGGGCACAGGTTACTCAATCCAATAGTATAAGTTTCATATTCTTATAGCTTTAGTTAGGGATATATTCGTCAAAGAGGGCGAACATTCTTTACGGCCATTTCTACATTCATCCACCTTCACCGGTTCTGTTCCCGACCAAAATGTCTGCATATATTGGGTCATAAGTGACCCAGGAAGTGTTCAAATTTTGCAATGTCGGTGGACTCTCAAAGGACAAATGTTATTCTATCCATTGATGTAAGTTTCATATTAATATTTGCTTTAGTTAGGGATGTATTCGTCAAAGAGGGCGAAAATTCTGGACGGCCATTTCTACATTCATCCACCCTCACCACTTCTGTTCCCTGCTAAAAGATGTCTGCATATTTTGGATTATAATTGACCCAAAAATTTTTCAAATCTGGCAATCTCGGTGGCATCTGAAAGGACACATGCTACTCAATCCAATGATTGTAAGATTCTTATTAATATTCGCTTTAGTTTGAAAATATCTGCAAAAGAAGGGAGGATTTCATGCCCGTCTGCTTGCTATTTTGAGGGAATACTTTATTATTTAAGTTGAAGAGGCCCTTTCACAGCACAAAGATGTCTGCATATATTGGGTCATAAATAACCCAGTAATTGTTGAAATCTGGCAATCTTTAGGGCATCTGAAAGGAATACTGTTTTTCTATCCAGTGTTGTAAGTTTCATATTAATATTTGCTTTAGTTAGGGATACATTCGTCAAAGAAGACAAAAATTCTGGGAGGCCATTTCTACATTAATCCACCCTTTACCGGTTCTGTTCCCCCCAACATTTCTGCATATGTTAGGTCATAAATGACACGGAGATCGTTCAAATCTGGCCATTTCGGTGGCATCTGAAAGGGCACATGTTACTCAATCCAATAATGTAAGTTTCGTATTCTTGTTTGATTTAGGGATATATTCTTCAAAGAATGCGAAAATTCTGGACCGGCATTTCTACATTCATCCACTCTTTACCGGTTCTGTTCCCGCCCCAAAATGTCGGCATATATTGGATTATAAATGACCCGAAAATTGTTCAAATCTGGCAATCTCGGTAGCATCTGAAAGAACATATGCTACTCAATCCAATGACGTAAGTTTAATATTTATATTTTCTTTAGTTAGAGAAATAAAAAGACTACACAGTTATTGAAGCCACAGCCGCGCTGAACGTCGCTAGCGTTGTTACGTGACTTGTATGAAGCACAAACTTTGTCGTCTGACTTGTCGCCAGCTAGCTCGTAGTTGCGCTTGCAGTCATTGACAACTCAAAACCTTGGTGTGATATTTTCCACACTTATGGGGAATTTTACTGAGTGAGCATGCTGAATGCGGGCTATGAAATGCTGTCCATGCTGTCGAATTTGCTCGGCCTGTGGATAATGGCATGCATAGTTCATGACCTGCATGATGTGTGTACAATCAGAAGGGGTCGGGGAAAGAGTTCCATATACGACGTGCACTTGACATCCTGTGCACAAACCCTATGGGCCATGGGACTGGTCTGAACAATTCTAGATTAGGCTAGGCCTAAGTGTTTTCATTGAAAATGTGACTCTCTCACTGCTAAGATTTATGACTAGGCTGTAGGCTTTCTAGGGACTAGCCTAAATGAGTTAGGCTAGCACCTCCTACTAGATCTAAAGACATGAAAGAGGAAAATGAGTGCACCTTATAATATATGGAACCCTTTCCCAACAGGGTGTTGTTAGTATATTGCAACTCATTAAACATAAAGATTAGGCAGTGGATATTTAACCTTAGGCCTAGTCGTCGCCGGCAACATTCACTACTATTCTTCCTTCACATTAACAAATCCTAGCTCTAACAGTAGGTCGGAGGCCTAGGCACTAAACTGATCTTAAGTGATGTTGATGATACCCCACGTGGATGACCATGCTGACAATGACATCCTCCACAGTTGACATAGGCATATTTCAGTATTTGATGAGAGCTAAAATTCTGGCAATATGCCTATGACATATGTCCAGGCCTTTTCGCCTCTCTTAATATTTATGCTGGCGTCAGATTTTGTGAGCCAAAGCAAGGCTGAAGGCCTATGCGGTACTGAACTACACAAGTGAATGACATTCGTTTGAAAACAACAAACTTATGTATTTGGAAATCTATCATAGTGATCAACCAATCTCAGGATCCCACGATCCCACAATTTTTGGCAGAAGCCGTCATTATAATGTACATGTACATGTAAATACACGCAGTAGCCATGAACACCTGGCATGGCATTGACTTCGTGATTAAATCGTTTTAATGGCTTTTTTTTTCTTTCGTCGTACCAACATGTGTTTGGCTTATTAAATATTGTCCTTCAGGTTTCTTGTCTTTCCATTATTCTGCAACAGTATATTGCCACTATTGTTTTATTGAAAAGTGTTATGAAAAATATGTGAAGCACGTTATGTTTTCTGTACCCTTTCAATACATCTGTCTATTCGCAATCGTACTTCAATGAAAAACTCTCTCAAAATCTGAGGAACATTAGGTGGGGGAGGAGGAAACGCTCCCAGGTCCAACCAGTCATGTAGTCATGTGTTTGTCTCCCTGTGTGCGTATCTGTAACATTTATCTTTTGCAAATTGGGTTACTAGGTCTGGGTAACTAACGGGATTAAGTTCAACTTTGAGCTGATGACTGCATTATACGTGTATGTTGGGATTACAAGTGTGAGGTAAGGTAAAACATAATTCAGTCCTTCAGTGTATAATGTTAAGCATCTGTTGGCCTGTACTTCAGTGAATCAGATGGACAATCTTACACAGAGGCAGTGGAGACCATGAAATGGCTGTGCAGAGAGAAGGGTCCCGACCATCCCAAGCTGCAGAGGCTCCGGCGGGGGACATTCACAAAGAGAAGACAGTGGATTCAAGGCCGGAAGGGTGGTGATAAGCGCTCTATCATTAGCGAATTCCCCTTATTGGAAAACCCTTATTTTTTGAGTTTTCATTATTTTGTCTGTTTTGTCATAATGCTTGGCCCTACAAATACATGTATTTCTACAGTTGAGCATTTATTGGTAAATAAGGATCACTAGACTAGTATTTGAAGAAACGATATTGGAGCAACAGTTAACTCCATGGCAGCCGTAGTCACTTCAACGAAAGCCAGCATCTTGTTATACAAATTAAACCTGCCAATACATTGACAAATGTAACTTTATGGGTGTTTGAGAAATCCCAATGTACTCAGGTACTCCAAACCTATCTAAAAGGAATCATTAATAGGAGACTTTGAGATGCAGCCATATTGGTCCTCAGGCTTTTTGACAATCTTGGGCATACACAGAACTATGTATGTATGCGTGTATGTTCAGAACTAGCAAAATCGACCGATGTGTTTGCCGTGACCAAGCGTCTCAAAGTCTACCATTAAATATGAGTGGAAGGCTAGATACCCCCTTTTAAGGCAACCCCCCCACCGCAAAAATGTGTCTTGTTTATCAGATGGTTTAAGTTGGGTTTCACAGATGACAAAGGAGTTCTTCCTGTTGAATGTGGATCTGAAACAAGCAGAACTCCTCCAGAACCTCCGAGACTTGATCGGCTTTTTTTTGTCTGAAAGGGCACAGGCTACTCAATCCAATGATTTAAGTTTCATATTTATATTTGCTTTAGTTAGAGAAATTTTTGCAAAAGAAGGGAAGAATTCTTCTACGTCCCCTTGCTAATTTGACGGAATTCTTTATCATTTACGTTTAACAGACAGGTCCTCTCACAGCAAAACGATGTCTGCACATACTGGATTACAAATGACCCAGGAATTGTTCAAATTTGACAATCTTCGTGGCACCTGAAAAGGCACATAGTATTCTTCTGAAGTAGGTTTGATATTCATATTTGCTTTTGTTAGGGCTATATTCGTCAAAGAATGCGAAAATTCTGGACCGACATTTCTACATTCATCCATTCTTTACCAGTTCTGTTCCCGCCCCAAAATGTCTGCATATATTGGATTATAAATGTCCCGAAAATCGTTCACATCTGCTAATCTCAGTGGCATCTGAAAGGGCACATGTTACTATTCAAATAATGTACGTTTCATGTTCTTATTTGCTTTAGTTAGGAATATAATCGTCAAAGAACGCAAAAATTCTGGATCGGTATTTAAACATTCATCACTCTTTACCGGTTCTGTTCCTGCCCCAAAATCTCTGCATGTATTGGATCATAAATGATCATAAATGATCCAATATTCACATCTGGCAATCTCGGTGGCATCTGAAAGGGCACATGTTATTAAATCCAATTATTTAAGTTCCATATTTATATTTACTTTTTTAGAGAAATAGAAGCAAAAGAAGGGAAGAGTTCTCGGCCGTCTGCTTGCTATTTTTAAGGAATTCTGTATGTCTTTGCGTTGAAAAGGTCATTTTATAGCACAAAGATGTCTGCGTATATTGGATCATAAATAACCCAGGAATTGCTCTAATTCGGTAAGCTTGGTGGCATCTGAAAGGGCACGTGTTATTCTATCCAATGATGTAATTTTCTCATTCACATTAGCTTTAGTTAGGGACATCTTTGCCAAAGAAGGCGACAAATCTGGACCGGTATTTCTCCATTTATCCACCTTTTACCATTTCTGATCCCGCTCTAAAATGTCTGCATGTATTGGATTACTAATGACAAGAAAATTGTTCAAATCTGGCAATCTTGATGGTATCTGAAAGGACACATGCTACTCAGTCCAATGATTTAAGTTTCATACTGATATTTGTTAGAGAAATGTTTGCAAAAGAATGGAAGGACTCTTCATTCGTCTACTTTCGCACTCAGACTTTATAAACAAAATTTAGCAACAACGAATATATGTATATTGTCTGTAACACTAAAACAAATTGAACCCAGCATTAATACATAAAACACGAGTCACATAATACCGTTAGAGAAATACAATCTGCTCTCCGTTCACACATAAATTGTGCACAAAAAACTCAAATCGCCTCTCAGGCAGACATGACCCCCATGTCGTACCTCGTTTGTCCACGCTTACTCTCATTCAAAGATATCCTCTCTGCTGTCTTTCATACAGTTCTCCATCAAGAAATTTCATTAGTATACGTGATCACTCAGGTGTACTTGAAGACACACGGTATGTAACTCTATACCGGTATCAAATTTGCTGCATTTAAGTTGTTGTAAATCACCGCGTCGCATTTTTATACGCCAAAGGAGACAAACTGCCACCAAGAGCTTCACATATTTTCAAAGCTCGAGGAAATACCTAGTTCTGAGTTTCCACAGCGTGTGACAAGTGAATCGCTGAAGCTGCTGGTTTAGGTTTTGCTAGGCAAGTGCCCGGGGCGTCCTGTATACAGACTTGATTTGGGGGCATTTAGGAAGTTCCAAGCACCAAGGCACATACATATACCGGTTGCGTTAGTACACGACACAGAGAGATGCTTAGGTTAGCATGGAAAATAAATTACTACATCTAGCAACGAAGTCTCCATGTTTAGAGTCTATTGTTATAACTAAACAATGAGCGGTTACTATTACAAGTTACTTTCATCTCACGCGCTTTATTCTACGAAGAAATTCTTCAGCAGCCAACGTTAATGGGGCAGCTTTAATCGGGCAGCATAGTTTCCTAATTAATTGGAAAACTGCACTTTACACTTCTACGTCACCGGCTTTAATAGAGGGAGTAAGCTTACCGAGGTTGAAATACCCAGTTGAGCGTCAACCTAGCAGACAGCAAGATACCCTCTTAAACAGAAAATGGCACTGTACATTTCTGACCATTAGACAGCGCAACTCCATTGCATGAGGTTGGAGACAGGCTAGGACGGGGTTCCCATGATCGCAACTTCTCTAGTGTCTCCTCGTTTTTCACCAATCCAAATATCCCTCTCCTTCTCGTCTTATTCTCTTTCCCTCCCCACCATCCATTGCATCTCTGCATCTCATTTTTATCCCACTGTCTTCCTCAATACACCACCTCTGTGTTTCCTACCCAAATGAGTATTACCTCTTGGTTTGGTAGAAAGAGTTATTGACATATATGTTCAAGAGGTTGTTGCAAACAGTACGGTAAGTCCCTACTAAATTCCCATTTAGTTCTCGATGTGACGAATTAGCGCTAAATGGTATGCGTGCATGATTTGCTGCTCTAACACTGATTAATTTTTTGGTCTTGGAGGAACAACAGAACCTAGAAAACACATTATTATCGAATTCTTTGTGTATCTCACTCTTCTTTCCATAGTGTTTTTCCTCTGTCAGCTTTGCTGTGTCCGTTTTCTGCTTACCAATTTGAAGACAAGGTCCACATTACAATCAGATATCATTCCTTGGCTTGATGTTGTCCATCATCACATTCCTCAACTTCATGTTCTGCTCCCAGGTGTTGATCCACTTCTCGTACGAGTCCACAGAGTACTTGCTGCTGTGGCATGCTCTCTCCAGGATGCGCAGGATGTGGTCGTCGGACGACAGCTCGTCGGACACGTAACCGGTGTTGACCACCGACACGACAGCCTTGCTGGATTGCTGCTCCTGGTGCTGCAGCTTGGTGCTGTTGGTCTGCTGGCTGTGCTGGCTGTGCTGGTTGTTGTTTTTGATGGCGGAGTTACAGGGTGTCTGGCGAGGGTTGAGTGTCCCGTTGGTGATTAGATGACGCCAGCAGCGTACGGCCTCTGGATTCAGAGCGCACCGGAACAGGAAAATGAAGAACCCTAGAATGTGACAAATACAATTAAATTCTAAATGATGTGTGCGTACAGAGCGCAGAAAGTGTCAAACGACGTATTAAAATCCCGACAATTATATTCTCAGGGCGACAACTTACTGCAGGTACCCCAGAGATAACTTATTGCATGATGATGGCATCCTGAGATACCGGTACACAGTGCTTGTAAATTACATCATCCTGATAATTTCCAAATGTCCGAGAGTAGTTCCAGAGCTTCGCACGTCTTTACATTGATAGTTCATGAACGTATGCTACCTTGCATGGTGTTGAGTGTTGTACATATGTACTGAAATACTAAGGTGGCATTTCCAACTGCAAACAGGCCAAAGACCCAGGTCAGACCCAGTAGAAACGTTACGGACAGAGCACAGCCGATCTGCAGAATTGAAGGAGAGATCGGAAAGGAGAGATTGTAAGCAAAGCACCACTAACATCAGCATTGGCCTTTATGTTGACGCTGTGGTTGAACTTGGAACCAAATAAACTGGAAAAAGGCCTAGATGGGTCCCGCATTATTTATCCTAAAGATGCAATGAGATTGACAGCATCCCATTATCGGATGAGGATGCATCTTACATGCCCATTTACTTTTAGGTTATAGGCAACATAAGCATAGTTGTTGCTGCTGTCTGTACACTGAATCCGACGACCAACCGCTGTTAAAAAACGGTGCTTTTTAAACCAATTACCACCGTTTGATGTGTGCTGGTAATACATTATATCAGGCATTATGTGGGGTAATGCCACAAAAAAGAGGAAAATGGGATAAAGGAAATGAAAAGTATTGAGGACGTCCTTGGTTCGAATCCCAGCGGGGACTTTCGGCCTTTTTCGGTCTGTTACCTGTTGGAAAAAATTACTTTGAGATTTGATTTAATACATCATACTTTCTAAGCCTATAACGATGTTTTAGTCCAGAGGATATAAGCTCTTTTCAACGCTTTATCTGCTGATTATCACTAACAATAAGTTGGTATTTATATCACATTATTGATAATATATCACCGGCGGCTTCAAACTGTGGCACGTTGCTGAATTTAAAAGCCTCGTTCATTAACAACGATGGGTGGTCAGATCGTGTAGTCTGGATTGACTTTTGGTTGAACTGAATCTGTGAACTTTGATTTCAGTATAAAATCTAACGTATCTGAAGTTCCCACCAGTTTAAAGACTGGCAAAGATACTGCCACAACATATTTTCCAGAAAAAAAACTTCATTTCAAACGTAAAAATTAGGTATGCACTGAGTGTAACATCAAAGCAATCATTTTTTTCTGCAAGTTTCCAGGGCGCTTAAAAATTTTGACATCTTATCACTCTGGGCATTCTGAGCTTTGATATGTTTAAATATCTTGCGTTGGTGGAATTTCCAAAATAAACTTCTGTTTTGAAACAGAAGATACTGCATTGGCAACTGTTGCGTATCCTTTTATCGTTGAACAAAATGGTTAAGCGTCTTCAGTACCTTCACGACTCGTTGAAAAAAACTCTTGATCTATGAAAATACCTTACTGTCAATTTCAATATAAGTTTAGGCCTACCCGATTTTGCTTATCGCCAAGCACTGATACTTTCCCTGTATAAATTTACCTGTGTCTTTCGCACGCCATTTCTAGGCAGGCTTGATGTAGCATTGTGCAGTTTCTTGCTGCGAGGGGAGCACACTGCATACAGAACCATGACAAAAACGACGATGTTGATAGCCAGGATGATACAACATGGACCGAGATACGAAATGTAGTACACATAGGGGTTTGTGGTAAGCAGCAAGCACCTAAAATAAAAAGAAAAAATCCCCTCACTCTATGAATTTTAGAACAACAAACCGTTGACAAGCCTAGTAAAACAATCACAAAATTCACTCCATTGGAGAATTTGGAATCGATCGATAGATACTTACATGCCCTGTCTCTCGCCGTAATTTTTTTCTGGACCCGTTGCGGCTGCGGCAGTCACTATAGCAATCGGCACGACTGCAATAAGATTTAAGAAATTTGTAACATACAACACCTGACAAGTGACCTGAATTTGAAAGTAGTAATTAAGTCGTCGTAAGTCATGATAATGTGACTGAGATAAGGGCATTTTTTTTCTAACTGTTACTCTTGAGGTGAGTGCTTTGTGATTTACTTGTGAGTGACCAAAAAACAACTGTATATTAATTCTAAATGCCTCACTGATCGAATAAGATGAGTGCTTCTAATGCAGTGAACACAATAGGCCTGGGCCTACAGGTCCTCATCGAAATACGGAAGAAACAAATAACATGAATTTTTAGAGGACCTGAAATAAATTAGCTGTTCCTGCAAAGAATTTATGGAATTTACGAATGAGTTACAACACTTTCTTTGGACTTCAAAAATTTCAGAATCAACTTAGAGCAATACAGATTTAAACCTATAAAAGGCCTCTTAACGACAGCGCGTCGATCTAGAAAAAAAAATGCAAAAAAGGCACATTTGGTAAACATTTAGATTCTTTATTGTTGTAATGAACATCTCTCAGGTTTACCCCAAGATGTGATGATGCATTTCGTCATGAAACACCCAGTGCTCCCGCGGATGAAGACTTGCACCAGTGCCCTGTACATGTTCACCGCTTCCATAGCCATCCACGAGAATGACGTCAGCACAAAGTAGTGCAGCAAAATGGCCGAGGCCAGGCAGAGGGCTTTCGGTGACTTCAGCGAGAGAGCGCTGTCTATGATGAACACGAAGTTGAGGCCGAACAGGGATGCAGAGAGATGAATTAAGATTTTGCCTGACCGGGTCCCTCGTAATTGTCTATAAAACAAAAATGGACGAGGTGCACGCGAGTGCATTTGGACGTACTTAATGAAAGCACTGTTACTCAGTAAGTTTTGGCTTTGTGCTATGTTGAAGTGTACCGGTAAGAGGAGGCTTACACCTTTCTTGTACATTACTTCAGAGCCAAACCTTTTCAAACCATCGATCGGAAATGGCTGGCAGTCGGTGGAAAAACGTAATACGTCATCGTCGTATACTCTTGAATACTGATGAAGTAAACGCCCAGTTTAAGGTAGAAGCTGTTAACCATTTTGAGACATTTTGCAAACTTTGGATGGCTATGGTCAGTGTTTTTGAATAAAACCAGAAGGGTTTTAATATACATTTTTTTTGTACAATGCTGTATTCATTATACAACGCACCACTAAGATATATCACTAAGTGGCCATTTTAGCGGGGAATTAAGGGAGAAACTCGACAATTGTATGCAATGTATTACTGTACAACAAGTAGGCCTATGCGCCATTCTGTTTGTCAAGCTCTTGATGCACCCAATTATAAGTTATATTATAATTCAATTCAAAAGCAATATTTATTTCCATACTTTTAAAAGATTACAAATTTAAGTGAAAGAAGGTAATTATGGAAATCAGAGAGCTTGTTTGAAGTTATAATTATGATGTGATACGATTAACAATGCGTGTATTCAGGGCGAAAGATACCACTATGCTGTATGCGTAGCTCCATACAGGGTGTCCACATAAAAAGTGTACCGAGATAAAAGTTACTGTACTGGCAAAACTACTTTATAATCGGTAAAGAGGAATATATCTCTAGAAAGGGCAGAATATCTTCTTTAAAATGGTAGACAGCTTGTGATGTTATTGACACAGATGTGTGAACAAACAAGGCTGTCTTCCATGGTACAGAAATCATAACTGTGACAAGTTGCATATTTTGAATAACGAAAGTCAACATGTGGGGTAAAGGCCAGATGCTTTTACTTGTTCAACACATGAATGGTCATGCTACTTGAAGTGTTTAATGTGCTTACTGGATGCAGCAAAAGCATTGCATGCTGTAGGAAACTTTGACTTCATTAGCAAACATGGTCCAGTACACAGTTGAGAAAAGGGCATTTTTTGTCCCGAGGTAACATGAAACCAACAGTTATGTTGCAACTCAAAACGCCTTCAGGAATCGCTTCCCGGGCAGGGAACCGCCAACAAAACGAGCTATTTGGAAAAATGTGAAAAAGTCTGGCGTAAATGGCACAAGTTTAAATCGTGACACAGGTCGATCTGGACGTCCACGAACTGGAAGGTCTCAGGAAAAAAGCGATTTGGTAAGAGAAGCAGTTCAAAGAAACCCAAATATTAGCAGCAGGAGAAATGGTAGTGGTATACCTCATTCAACGTTCAACAACATCACAATAATGGAAATACACCTTCATCTCTATCACATCCACGTTCAGCATCAACTCCTGCCAGCAGATTTTGACAGAGGAGTGGCATTTTCACGGTGGTTTGTGGATAAATGAAACAGGGATGGACAGTTTCTTCGGTTCTTTGTCATTGGAGAAGAGGCAGGTGTTTGCATGAATGGAACAGTCAACTTCCATAACGAGCATGTTCTGTACCCTAAAAGACAGCCTTGTTTGTTCACTCATCGGGGGCCAATAACATCACAAGCTGTATACCATTTTAAAGAAGATGTTCTGTCCTTTCTAGAGATATACACCTCTTTCCCGATTACAAAGTAGTTTTGCCACTACAGAAATTTTTATCTCGGTATACTTTTTATGTGGACACCGCGTATATCTCCAAATTTCAGGTTTGGCTTGATTTGTCAAACGATTGGTAAGGAAGAAAGTGCACATTTGGGTCACTTTGAGTGAAATGTTACTGAGAAAATACACAATTTTCCAGCCAATATTGGTACACGACTGGAGCTACTTTTATGAACTCACTTGAACAGGAGGTATGTCAGAAAGGTCAGAAGCAGCCCACACAAGGTGACACAGAGTCCAACTCTCGTAATAATGCTGAGGATCTTCATGTGAGTTGCTGGGATTTCAAAGGGCATCCCTGGATCCTAAAAGACAGTTTCACAGGTTTTAATTAAGACATCACTCCTTCTTCCTTCACTTCATATAAATGTCCCAAGAATCATTTCTCTGGTATATGTGATACGTAATCTTAGTAAGGTATTCAGTCCCATTCATAGGTATTTAAGTTTGTAATTTACCCATTTATTACAGTGGTTTTAACTTTGACCAACGAACCAACACAACATATTGAGTGTGATGCAAAGAACTAAACATTCGCAGGGAAACACAGACTTCAGTCAGGAGTAAATTTTGATTTCAAGATGAAATCACTTACATCATAAAGGAGTAACTCCACACTACTAAATTAAGCAGTGTGCGGCGGAAGAATTGTAAAGTAAATACGTTGATTTCCAACGATATACTGCATAGTACAGAACTGGGTCACAAACAACCTAACATAGGAAATCACATTGTGCTCACCACGATAATGCCAAAGTACGTCAAATGACTAGATTCACACACTGCCGAATTGTTTGCCTTTGAGATTAACTTCAACCCAGTCGTATCCCATCTTCCTTCTGAAGATGAAAAGGAAAGGAGTTGACTGATCAAAATAAAGAGACTATGAACAACATACCAAGAGTAGTCGAAGCACTGCATGAAAAATTTACTTGTTTTCTGACAAATCCTGACTTCAGTGCACGTATCTACTATTGTAGTTTTGAATTTTTAAATGCAAAATCATTGTTCACGCATTCCACTGGGTGAGGGAAAGTGATTTTGTTTTCCAATTTAAGTTGCCATATACAACTACAAAGTTGATGTTGATTGTTCTTTATAATTGTATATAGTAATGTCTTTCCTTTTTTTATATTGCAATCATATCGTTCTCTGTTTTACTTGTCAAGGGAAAAGGTGTCATATGGAAAAAAATTGATCACTTTCCGCTCGCTGATTAGTTTGAAGCCAGACCAAGCAGCTTAGGCCTTACCTTTTCCATTCCAAAATGCGCATTTTGGTGTTTTCCCAACTTCAACCTACATAAAAGAAAAACAATGTTTTGCATAATATACGGCTGCCAGCCGAAAGTACGCACAAAATATCATTCAAGAAGAGTACAAGGGTGCCACCCTTCTCGCTCCCACCAGCAGAATTCGAATAAGTGTTGAATTTGTATTTGTTTTGCTGTAATTCGCAGGTTCAGTGTGAACAATCGCGTAGCTGCATTTGGCTGAATGAGAGGGCATCTCAGACGCAAATCAATACATGCAACTTACATGTAAGTGTTGACTTGAAATGGAACTGCTGTAATATTGGTTTTCTTGGAATAAAACATTCACCGAGCTGTAGAAAAACATTAGTTGTAATTACAGCCTTTCTGAAAGTTTTGAGCACTTTCAATGACAACTGACGAACATAATGTACAAAGGTAATGACAACTGACGGACTGTAGTTTCAACAGCTAGCTTGTTTCGTACTTCGTCCGTTGTCATAGCAAAAGTTTCTGTGCAGCTCAGATTTGTTTATGCATGTAGTTCTTTGCTGTAGTCTAAGCCTTGCAGTGACCAATACAGCGTTGTTGGGAAATTTAGACTTGGTTTGGGGGACTTTTTCAGCGCTCATCACCTTTTGTCCTCCCAAATCTAACTGTTATGGGTGGATGCTAGTTATGTAGTTGGGATGGCCTGCGTTTAGGTGACAACTTCAGCTACTCTTTTATTGCCAAACGTGAGCTCCAAGAACTATTTAGAAAAAAATGACTAGCGCCCTCTGTTAGCTAGTCTATTTCATCAACTATAAATAAGTTGTCAAAATAACTGCAGAGCAAGCTTGTGTGACCACAGTTTTGATGGATTCCAAAAGGTGAGGCCACTTTATGCGCCAAGTCAAGTGATACTCACGTTCTCCATAGGCAAGCTGATGGTGACCGGCTCCGCCAGCCCGCTGACCGCCCTGCCCTGAATTCTCGCCGAGACGGCATAGCCGTTGTAGGCCTCTTCCTGTTGGGCGACCGGTATGAACAACTTGGTGTTTGTCATGACCACAAAGTTGACTCGAACAGAGTCTGTTTCGCCCACAGCGGCCATCAAATCCTCCTCGGCAAAAGCCTCCGATGGAATATTGACTGAAATCTTAAATAAAGCGAGAAAACAAACAAGTTGAATCTTTTGGTTTTTGCATGCCTGGTTTTAGCGTTTGGCTTCATAAGTCGCTGTTTTTCACCTTTTTAAAAATATTTGTAAGGTGCATCCCAGTTCAAAATGATAGGATCAATTTTTACTCAATGCTGTCAATAAAAAGCTAACATAATGAAACTTCTCTTTTGTGTATTTTCAAAGTTGCCTTTTGGGCATATCACGCCACTTCCCTAATTTTATGAAATGTGTAAACCCCTTTCCATGGCTCACTTCAAGAAATATTCTACAGTTTAACTTGACGCTTGAAGACTGATGATCGCCTAATGATTTGATTACCACAGTAGGGAGGGGTAACAGTACAATCGGCAAATCTTAGATTTTCTGACTACGTACCCCTTGGGAGTTAGGCAGTGAGGACTGAAAGTGCGAGCCCGTCATTGTGGCTTGCTCTAAAGAGACATCCTCTACTTTGATCTCGATGTTGTCGGTGAGTAACTCCGCTGCAGAGTCATTGGTCCCTAGGACTGTTTTCTCGGCGTAGGAATCTATCATGGAGAGAAGCCTTGAGAGAAGTGAAAAAAAAGCTGTTAGATGAAAACTAAAGGTTTAAGTTTGAGGAAAGTATGAAACATGGTTGGTTTCGAACATTTTACACAAAATATTTATTTACATGTATCTGCCAAAAGTGACTGACAAACGTCACTAACTATCACATAATTAGTTATTACAAAAGCAAATCAATTGCAATGTTTCTCGAGTGCCACATCACAAAAGCACAACCCTGACCTCTTGGAAAATTCGTCATATGTTTTTTTCCTAGAACAGTTTGAATAATCAACCAGTGATTCTCTTTCCAGTTGTTCAGTTTCATCTTTACGTTTTGTTGAAACTGCTCACTCACTTCGTGTTTGTGTCCGACTGAACGGAGCTGTCTCGGAGAACAGTCTCATTGACCTCCAGGAGATTGCTGATGCAAAGCATGAGATCCTTGGCCAGCTGGGAGTCGGAAAAGTTTGAAAAAAAGCGTCGAATACCATTTAGCATTTGCTTGTAATCTCCCGTCCCTCGCTGACAACTGATCGCCGTGGTGGACCTTTAGTTTTCTCCTGGTTAAATGACACTATACAAATAGAAAACTGTCTTCAATGGGATCTTGCCTTTTGACACGTAAAACGTCAAACAAGCATAACTGTATGTGGTTATGTGGTATGTGGTTTTATACCTACATCCCTTTCTTTACAAATAGGCCTGTATATCACACGAATACCAGCGACGCAGTAGAGTCCATTGCAAGCCCTCCACAAGTGGAACCATAAGAGAAAATCACTTAATTAATAATATTATACGATAACCAGCGCTGTAGTAGAGTCCGTACATCTTTTACAAGTGAAATCCCACGAGATCGCATACTATACGAGTGCATGCCAGCGATGTAGTTTAGTCTATGACAAGTCCGTCACAGGGTAATTCAAACGAGGAATTGTAAACAGGTCACAGGTAACAGTGGATTACTAGTAACATGGAAAAGACCTTCGTGACATCGCACTGGAATAGCTTGTGACTTGAGACCGGGTAACTTCTGAGTAAACCTACGTCAGTATCTGCTTGACTACGATGCCCTATGGTGTTACTGTAAGTGCTTCAACAAGGAAGACGTTTGGTAATCTTTCTCAATTAAGCAGAGATCACACTCACAGACTGTTTTTGATAGGCTGCAGGGACTATTTTGGGTGTTTTCTTCAAAGAGAAGTCAGCAGGGGTGTGACCATGTTACACTTGTGGTTAAAAATTCAGACAATTTACCTCGTAGTCATAGTAAGCATAAATGATGATAGCCACCAGCAATTCCGTGGATGACGTCACCTCCTCCTCCTGCATGTCTTCTGCATTACTGGTTGTATGTACGAGGTAGTGTGACATGTTTGTCGCCACCTCCTTGGTAAAGTTAACCTGCAGCAACACATGTAAGGATGTGAAACATGTTACTCTTTTCATTCGAGAATGCCAACATCAGGATGTTATGCAGCTTCCACATTACAGCTATCACACAGCACACATGCGTCCCACTTCAAGCAGCGCTCTCCTGCAAAAGAGCAGACACCTACAAAAAACACTGCTCAGAATGGCCTCCATCCCAGGTGAGCTCTCGACGCTGGCAAGTGCAGAGTAAGGCGGTGCAGGCTAAGGGTGTGCATAGACACTAAGTCAGTAACTTGAAAAGTGTGTGGGGGGGTGTGTGATTATATTGGTAATCCCTCAGATCAAAAGGTGTGGGTGAGGTATCCCCCATCTCCTGGGATCTCCGCCCATGCATGCAATTAGTGTTCAGACAAGATAAGCTCTACGCTTTGTTCAAACGCTGCCCTGTCAAATGTTCAACTACTGATCCTTGGATAGAGTTCTGCATATGAATGTACAGCCACGCAGCAAACCAACTGCACTCTTTTTCTCTTCTGTTTTAAGAATATTATCTCAATTTAAATTAGGCAGGAGACGACTGCTGAGAAATTAGTCCTTTTCAACCCCTGTTTATTTTGACAATTGGATAACTTTCAAACTTTCAATGCAACATCTGAGTAATTATCCCTCGACACCACCTGGTGCCTTGCTCAGTATTTTATTCATATCATCTTTATTGAGGGCGAAACTCTGATCAGTGCACAACACTTCGTTTCATGGAAGCGCTCATATTTACAACGTGAGTCGAAATCATGCAAGGGCGCCTTAGTCAGCCGTCAAACGACCCACATCTGTAGACAGGACCCAATGCATGAGAAGCAGTTACAGTTTAAGAGGTGGGAGGAAAACCAAAGGAGAAAAATCTGGGTAAAAGGTTGAGACTGAAAACCCAACCCATATTTGAACCGAGCCGGGAATCAAACCCCAGGCCACAGAGTTCAAAGGCTAGGAAAGAACCACTTAGCAAGCCAACCAAACTCCCTTATCGATTCGGCGAAATTTCTCTCGTAAGAAATATGGGGGTACAATCCGGTACCAAACTATTTGCGAAGTGGCTTTTTTCCACAGTCAGGTGTTCACTTACTGTATCACAAGAAGACATGTCTGGGGTGACCCAGAAAATGGCCAGTGCAAATCCCCCGGTCACCCAGGCCTCGCACCTCCTCCTTGCAAAACCCGTGCCGACATGGCAGGGAAGAACGGCAGCCTTTCCGATCAAAGTCTCGGGCCAGAAATACAAGCCTTTGGTGCTGACTGTGATACTGGAGGATGGGTCATTACAGGTGACTGTGGAATAGGGAGTATATTGAAGCGAGTTAGTTGTCTTGAATTCTCAAACAAACTTAATCCAGGCTGACAAGATTTAGAAGTGCACACATCTTGGTGGCAAGACAGTTTGTGTGCTCAACTGTTAATAACATTTGTCCTGCGTAATAATTTAATTGTTTAAATGCATTTTGATTTTTAAATACGTGCATTCTTGTCTTTTAGTATAGCAATGTACAACATATGTGTCTTTGTAGGGTAATGTAGAGGTAAATGTTGAATAACCAGACAGTCAATTTGTAGCACGAAAGAGCAATTTTTATCTGACCAAATATTACTACTTATTGTCATGTGGACGTTTTGTGATAGTGCGCCTCCAAGAGTTTGCAACGCGTAGACAGTGTGCGAAATCTGTCGACCCAATGTGCATTTGAAAAGGGTCGACAGGTTTTGCGTACTGTGATTGGTCAATGCGTTGCAAACTCTTGAAGGCACACTTCTGTCAATCGCCTGTGTTAATTTCTGTTCTCTAGGTAGACATGTCATCATAAGCGCAGATCGTTGGGGGCATAATTATGCACACTTACTAAACACTGACTTCATGTTTTACAGAACCGAGGATCACTGTCGTAACCGGTCCAAGTTTTCCCATATTCAATAGGACGTGCGAGAACATACACTACGTCAAAGACATGCACGACAACACTGAGAATCTGTCCTTATTCAATGGCCGATACGTTCGACAATGATCGACATTAATCAGGTATGGGCAATGGCAAATACGATTTACAAGTTTAACAGCCAAAGTCTGGGCCAAGATACAGGGTGCCTTCTGCCCCATTGAGCATACGCAGTCCAAATACCTGGAATCTCGCAATGATCTCCCGTGTACTGCTCCGAGCAGTTACAGAAGTACTTCTGAAACAGGTAGAGCGAGACACAAGGCTGGCCGTTCTTACAGGGGTCGCTGTGACAGCCGTCGTAGCGTTCGCAGGCTTGACCGTAGTAGCCGCTGTCGCACTGGACGCACTTGTAGCCAGGCTCCTTGTTCGTGTACTCGCACACCCCGTGGTTGGAGCAGACGCTGGGTAACTGCTCCGGACACGGCTGTCGATGCTCGCAGTTTTTGCCGTAGTAACCCGTCGGGAAGCCGTTTGGAGCGCAGTCACAGTCGTAACTGAGCAAAGAATTAAGGACAGGGAAGTCAAACAAACCCAGTCCTCGGCCATCCGAAAAGACAACCCATCCGTATTAGTAAACTAGTCATTCACAGCAAAATCCAGTCATTTGAAATTTGAGTAAAAAATGAAAGTCTCAAGTTCATAAGTCAGGTTTAAATCGTATCGTGTTGACCTAGTGTTTGTTAGCCTTGAATAAAATGATTATCTTCATTGCTACATTTTTACAGGATATTAAACCTTTCAAAATGCTCTTTTCCAACAGGAAACAACCGAAAAAGGGTGGACAAACAGCTTCCAGGAGTCGAACCACATACAGACAACCTCCTTTTCATTTCTTTCCCGTATCCACAACTTCAAGGAAACCAGCTATAGATCGCTTCTTTTTCCCCTTCTGACTTAATTTCGGTGCCCATTATAATGTACGTACTTCATCCGTGGCATTTTATTTTAAAAGCTATGTTTATTAAGAGCAAAAGGTTGCCGCAGCAACCAACCCTTCAATGGTTCACACGACAGGTGTATCTTCTGGCTAAGAACTTTTAAAGCTTTGATAGAGTTTGGGCACAGTCTAGTTGGAATAAGAGCTACCTCGATTCCCTTATTGCTCACTTCTCACCCTAAGACAGGTCACACTTTGTTTGAGTTTAAAAACCTAATTTACCTCATGTGACCCTTAAACGTGCAGTATCCTCCATTCTGACATGGCTGGTGCGAGCAAGAATCATAGTCGGTACACCAGGGCCCGTTGTACTCAGCCGAGTTGCACGTGCACTGATACGACATGTACGGAGTGGCGGAAATGCAGGTCTGGTTAGGATGGCAGGTGTTGTCGACACACGGATCCTTGAAGGCACACAGGATGCCAATCCAGCCCACTGGGCAGGCGCAGGTGAAGTAGTCCCCCTGCACGTCTGTGCAGTTGCCACCGTGCTGGCACAGTTCGTACTGCAGGCAGGAATTGAGCGTCTGGCACTTGCTGCCGTAGTACTCGCTCGGGCAGAGGCACACCGGTCGGCCCAATTCATCGATGGAACAGGTACCGTTGTGACGGCAGGAAAACCAATTGCACACTGTCAAGAGAGGAAAGGCTTGTCAATCAGTTTATCCTAGATAGACGGGCCATGTTTTTGCCTAACAGAGGGGAATGAATTCCGTTCCCCATGATCTCGGCCCCATACCGTGCTGTCATGTTTTGTTCCCTGTAGACAATGAACAATGGTAATACAGCTTCACATATTGATAAAGGGGAGCAGACTATTTTACCTTCCATACTTAGCTTGGTTACATTGCTTTGTATACTAGACAGGCAAGCTGGCTGTTCTATGATAAGGGACTATATTTTTGAGACTTGGCATTTCGGGTACTAGGGGAGGGTGTGTCAATCTGTGGCACCAGATGGTTTTGTCGATGTGGTCACTCTCTCATGCAACTCTCATCTGTTAGTCTCTCATGCAAGTCGTCAGTGCATGATCACTGTGGCCGGTAAGTATAGAGAATTTCTACGAGAAGGCCTTGTCTAATTTTCATCTCAGCGGCGTCATAATAACACAATTTTGGCACCCCACGAGGACTTAACGTAATATAAGAATAAACTGTGACGATATAAAAAAAATCCCATTGGAAGGTAATGGTGAACGAAAACGTGTCAAAATCAAGTCAAATTCTGTCCTTAGGTTCAAAACTATTTGAATAGACACAGAGCGTATTTTGGTATGACAAAAAAAAACGGGCATTCGTGTCTAAGATTGTGGCAAACGCACCCGAATGTGCGCACGTTGGGCCAAGGTAGCCGGCGGGGCAATCGCACTCAAAGCCCCCAGTTTCCAAGAGTGAACACCAGCCATTGTTGAGGCAAGGCGACTGGAGACACTCGTCCCGGTACTGGCACAGCTCACCGTAGTGCTGGTCATCGCACGAGCAGTTGAACGCCTCGCTTGCACCCTTCGACGGGTCTTGGTGACAGGTCCCAGCTTCGCCACAGGGAGACGTCAAGCAGGGATTGAACAGCTCGCAGTTGACGCCGTGGAAACCGCTGACTATGCCGTTCGGATTACAGTCACATCGATAACTGCGAGAGAATTTGACACAGAATGTATGATTATAATATAGTTCACTCTAATGATGGAGGGTCGGACAAATCTAGATCAAGACTGTGGCCGAATTATATGCAGAGACTTATATACACAATCACTTCCAAAAACAAAAGCAAAAGCCTGTGGACATTTCTTATGAAGTTGTGTGTTACTGGCGGTTGTTGCCAAGTAATTCAGACCTAGCCAAAAAATCTGGCAACCAATTGTAGGAGCCAATTCAATTTTTCATAGACTATATCACGCTGCCATCCTAAATTCTTGTATTCATTTCACAATATAAATCTCCCAAACACACCTGTAATTTTTATGGCCTTCTCTGTTTACCAATAGACTACTTACACGATATCATATTTATTAATTACCGGTTGCTTCCCGTGAATGCACACGTGCCATTGTTCCGACAAGGAGACTGGGAGCACTTGTTAAATATGTCGCAATCAGGCCCGTGGTAGCCAGCCTCCAGACACTCGCATCGGTAACTGTTGAATATGTCCACCTCGCAGCGCCGATTTGTCGGGCAGGGGTTGGAGGAGCAGGCGTGAAGGTGCTCGCACCGATAGCCGGTGTAGTTGACCGGGCACTCGCAGGCGAGCCTCACCACTTCGGGCCCCGTGACGATGTAGACACACTTGCCACCGTTCTGGCAGGGCGAAAGGAACTGGCAGCGGTCGCCGCAGTGGCTAGGGGGGCACAGGCAGCTCAAGCTTACATTGGTGCCGGGCTCGAAGCCGCAAAGGCCGCCATTCAGACAAGGTAGCTGTGTGCAATCTATGCGTTGAGATCAGACAAATTAATAAACTTCAAAGGAGGACCTCTGGGCACCAACTTAACTAGTTTGTGGTTCAGTTTTACAAGTCGGTGGTGAAAGATGCTGTAAAAAGTACTCTTACAATGAAAAAGCTCATTTTAATTTAAAACCTTTTTTCTTTCAGAGTTTAAATTGCATGTTCTGCTCTAAAACTCATTTTTAGAGACTATTAAAGAGTCAGCTACCTGCATTATTGGCCAAAATAAATGTTGAATATACAAAACAAAAAGATCTCAAACGTTGGTCAGCCTCAATCTCGACCTCATTTAGTACCGTTTAGAATACACGTAGCTTCTATTGAATTACATAAAATTCCGAGATACACATCTACCCATTTCTGCTAAAACAACAACGCCAGATATTTTAACTACGTTTTTATGCCTTCCTTTTTTTTGCGCCTTTCATGACTGAAATAAATAAATACATGTACATGTTTTATCACGACCAGCCTTATTGCTTTCTGTAGCGCCCCCATCCGCTGAATCTCCACCGGGCAGCGCAACGGCTTGTGGTGAACTTTATGATCTGAAGATTGCAAAATCTCTACCGTCCGCTCTGGAAAAAAGTAAATTTTTCGCTTTCAGCTGCCGAAAAACCTGTTTTCATACTGATTGCATTCAAACTAGAAAAGTACTGATAATGAAAAGTAAGGTGACACTTTTAAAAACTCACTCCAATATATTGTCCACTATACGTCGACCCTTTGCAGCAGTGTAAGACATATGGTACTTTTTGAAGTTTGGATTTTGGTAAAAACTAAGAATGCCCTCAGATTCCAGGCTGTGATGGACGTATTTAGTGCAGGAAAAGGCAGTTAAGGTTTGAAATACTTCACGAACACGCGTTTCATACTTATTACTGGAGTGGACATTCGTTTCTCCTCGTGTAGTTCAAATAAACTCGGTGTAATTACCCATTTCTCTTGAAATTTGATCACTATTTTAAAGCTGGGTTGTTGTTAACGGTTTACTTAACTGAACTTCTTCCTCAGTTTTGCCACCCATAACCCTGAAATCGAAGTGCCTCTAAACCTGCATGATTCGCAGAGAGAATACCACGTCCATTTCAAAAACTAGACTGGTGTTAAAAACAACATTTTTTTTCTTTTCACAATAACAAAAGAGAACGAGTGAGGAGTATGATTCTGGGTATGAGTTTGACCAGAACGAAATTCAGTTGCCTAAAGTGGCAATGCGAAACTGGATGACGAATTGAGTGTATGCTTGACCACTATCGACTTCAGAAACCTTAGCCTCTGAAGGTTTAACTTCTTCGGTAGTTTGACACTGGCGATCGGCCCCTATCTCCACCTTTTGGCCAAATTCAGAATCAAAGTCGTCGGCGACACGTCACTGTCTGTCCCCATCGCAGCAATTATCACCCTAGCCCTCATGACACTCCACAGAACAAACCTGCAAGTGTTTTCTTGTCAATGGGATGGTATGTTTATATTTGCTGTAAAACTAGACAAAATAATAAGAATGTTGGGCAAGATTCTTGATTTTGTAGACTTAGCTACGGCATATAGTTCTACGTGGAAGACACTAGTAAATATGAGTCAATATTGTATAAATTATATAGTCTGGACCTCATCAGCCTCTCAGAAAAAGGAATCAGTTGTTGAATTCTTGGAATCCTAGCTGAGTTTTTAAATGTTACATTTACCGACCTCTAAGATAACAATTTGACCAAATACTTTGAAGGTTTGGATCACCTTTTGATTTTAGATGTCCACTGGTTTTAGCTTACTCTGAGGCGAGTTACCACTCCCTTGAAAACAGTGCTTTTGGCTACTTGAATAACTGAGACTGGGAATATCTTTTTGATCATGTACCGGGTGAACAGACCTACCCTGAAGCTATAGACCCACTGCGTGACACAGTAGCTAGTCTGCAGTCATTATACGTAAACCTGTTTTAATTACAACCAGTTTATGAAGCATTGTAGGGTTGTTAAGTTGAATACGTATAATGCAGCAGCCCGTTTTAAGCAAATGAAAATCCTATATTTGAAAGCAGTTTGTCTAGACTAGAAAACTTTGATACTGGAATCTTCCAGAATACAGTATTGTGAAGTGATAACAAGCGGAAATAGGGCATAAAATAAGAAGACCTACCACAGAAGCGTAAATATTTTATAATAATTTTCGCAAAGAACTTGAAAACCAATTTCAGCTCATGTGTGATTATTAAGCTTCGAATCTCCAGATGCTGTATAGGGTATAAATATTGTAAGTATTTAGCTTCTAAGCAGGAATGGCAAGATAACTTTCGGTATGGCTTTTCATAGCACATATTTATAGTGCAGAGCCTTTGTTTATTTTTTTTCTTTCCTTTTTCAGAAGTTTTTCTTCTTCTCTCCATTTTATTCGTTTGGTTATTTAGGGCTCATTGATGGTATGGTTTCTTTCAGCTCAATGCCCCGCTGAAATTTTGTCATCATGAGTGAAATTGACCGGTAATACACAGAATGTTGTAAAAAATATCTCCCTGGAGACGGCGTGCAGCCAGCTGCCATGCACAACACCGGGACGCACGAGCGTCCACGTGTGTGACAAAGAGTGGCGGAGAGCAGACTTTAGAAATATTGATTTGGCTACGCACGAACACTTTTGAAAAAGAACCATGGCGACATAAATGCTATTGCTGGTTGCCCATGCTACAGGGATCATGTCAGTCTCCATTAAGGGAGGTGGCAGAGGAAGCTCTGAACTGCCCGAATTTCAAACAAACGTGTACAAAGGGGAAAATGAAAGGAAACCATTCATGTGGAAAAATTTCACCCAAGTATATCGTATAGGTAATTTGAATATAGTTTCGTAGTGGCCTTACAAAAAGGTATTTCCGAGAAATTTACCAGGTAATGGTAATCAAATGAATTTCAAAAGTCCCATTTTAGCAATCCACTTAACTTTACATTTGTCTCCCGGTTTCCGATTTGAGTGTTTTTTTATTTTTGTTTTTTTTTTTCGTTGAAGTGACTGTGACTGATAAATTTGTTTCCAGTTTGACAATAAAGCTGAGTTGGCAACACAGAAACTACTCTGCACGGGGGCCTCGGGCAGTAAGTGACATACTATACTAACGCAATACTTGCTCGCTTGGAATTATACAATACTTGATTGGGGCGCATTATAAGGGCATAGCCCAAGATTATTTATTTGCGCTTGAAAATGCCCCAAACATATACCACCGTCAGATCAGCTGAAGGAAATTGTCTTTAGGTTAGATTAGACAGAGCTTATGCCGTTTGTGTCTCAGGTTTCCATGTACGTGTCTGAATAAAAAGGGCACGTCGCAGATGATTTAGAAGACAGAAATTGAGCAGTTGCCCGAATTTCGACTGGGCGTGATGGGCTACTCGATCGACCCCAAATGTGATGAGGTTATTTTCGAAAATCCAAAATGCATTGTATAAGCACTGACGACGGAAAATAAACAGTGCAAAACATTTTGATCTCTGTTCTGCGCGGAGTAAGCGCACAAAAGTATAGGCCTATACTCCAAGACACCTCTCCATTTGTGGGAGTTCTCATTCCGCCTGAACTCCGTATAGATATATCTAAGCTGGGGTGAGTGCTGAGGCAAACGATGGCATCGCACTCACAGACGTGTTGGTAAATCACTTCACCATTTACCACCTGTCCAAGAGCGTTATGCACGAGCGTTTTGACTTCTAATTCAACTCGCCGAATTTCACTGTAGGCAAGGCTGTCAAAATGAGATGTAGCAACCAAACCTACATGAGCATGAAACTCTTTGCTGGAGGTTGCATGTACTGGCGCTTCTTTAATACACTACTTCAAGCAGTGACGACATCATGTAAATAATTAACTTGGTATAATAAACTAAATCATAGGTCTCTAAAACGAGATCGAGGCCACTGAAAATACTAGTACCATCAAGTTAATTTTGGCTTTAATCAAACAACGTGTTGAATCCAATTAGGATGCATATACCTACGAAAACTGAATGTCTGGAAACAAATTCAAGCACCTTGGAGTAAAAGAAGTAAAAGTAGTATTACAGAAACAAACAAGAAAGAAAATTATAAAAGCAAGGCAAACCGAGGTACACTTATCCTCTGGTTTTTATCGTTAATGTTTACGTTATATCCAGTTGATCCGTTTTATGAATGGGCAAAAAGCCAAAGTGATTCAAAACTAAACAAAAAGGCAAGCAAGGATCGACTGCGGAAGCCAAGTTGATTCAATACCCGAATGCAGATATGACACGATTCGGTGCTTCTTTCCACCAAGGTCCAATCTTGGGACATAGAGGCACCGAATCGTGTCATATCTGCATTCGGGTATTTGAATCAACTTGGCTTCTGCAGTCGATAAACTTAACGATTGCTATGTATAGGGCGATTGGTGGGCAGTTTTCAACGGAATGACGCATCTTCGGCCTAGAATGTTACATGCCAACAATCTCAATGTCTTTACTGCCAATTGAATGACATGAAACTGAATGGAAACAACATTAATACACAGTAATATAACTTTAATAAAGAAGTACTTCCATTTCCATATATATAAACGACTTCGAACATATCTCTTTTCGAGGGATAAAACAACTCCAAGGTTAGTTTTCTAAAATGCAAATTGCAACTTTTGTTTTATGTAATATTTCAAAAGAAAGGAGAAATTCGTGCATGGAACAAAAGCGCTAGGCTTCGGTTTTCTTTTGAAGTCTTGTTTAAAGGTCTATCATTTTACTTAATTATGTAAATCAGGCACGGACATTGGCATCATTTGACCCAACCTATCATCATTCAATCTCTTCCATAGCAACATGTCGTTGCGGGTGAGCGTTTTCATTGCATTCACTAAAATGTAAATGACAAGTGGGGGAAAAAAGTAAAGCAAAGGCCTGCTTGCTGTTGAAACAGCATCCTTCCCGGCCACACGACGACAAAATTGCCACTCGTAATCGTGACTCACACTGTAAACACATTTCGA